TAATGCTCCTCCACACAACAACACTCCTGTGAGGTGGACTGGGCTGAGAGAGTGTGATTACCCAAGGCCAGCTTTCATGACTATGGGGGCTCTAGGATTCACAGTCGCCTGGTGATTGACCCGAAGTCACCCAGCAGGCTTTCATGCTTAAGGTGGAACTAGAACTCACCATCTCCTAGTGATTGGGGATGGACCCAAAGCCAGCTTTCATGTCTATTATTGTAGAATTTTTGTAGAATGCACAGTCTCCTAGTGATGGGCCTAAAGTCCCCCAGCTGGCTTTCATTCCTAAAGTGGAACTAGAACTCACAGTCTCCTGGGTGGTTTAACCACTAGGCCAAATTTGCTCTCTTCCAAGGATTGCTCCACTTCTTACAATCACCCTGCATCAAAAAACTCAGTATTTATTCTAACTTTTTCCTACACTTAGGTTTCCCTACTGCTTATTCACATCGCTGACCCTTATAAGGGAAATTATGCCTCCAGGGCCCTCCGCACTCAGAAATAGCCCTCCCCACATGCATTTTTCATTGGGCTAATTATTACAATTAAAAAAAAAACACCCAGCAGCCTGTTTGGTTTTATGTACTGTAAGGGTAAGCCGTGTTTACAAGACAAGCCTTAAGCTGCCTCTCACTTACTGTGCTCTGGTTAGGAAAAGGCAGAGGAATAATAAATTAAGTGAAGTAGGACCCTTATAAGTATGTAAGCCAAGGCTCACTTATGACGCACAATAACGAAGCGGCCATCTGTTAATCCTCCTCCTTGTGGTCGAACAGAAGACCAATGTGAATGTGTGCGTCCTGTTGGAATTTGTATACAGAGAGTCCTCAACTTAAGACCACAAATTCTTAACAGTCTTCTACCCTGTTTTCCCCAAAATATGACCTACCCTAAAAGTAAGTCCTAGCTTGATTTTTACATGTACACCCAATATAAGCCCTACCCCCAAAATAAATTAATAATAATAAATAAAATAAAATAAATTAAGGTAGGGTGAGGATGAGGGGTGGAGCTGCCCTACTACTTACCTTTGGGAAGTTGTAGCCAGGCCTCGCACACCCCGACACCTGCCTTGCTGGGCCATTTCTCTTCTGCAGCCGGCAAGGCTGGCAAGGCTTTCCTGAAGGCCTCTGGAGCTGAGAACAAAGCTCTGGATCGATCCAGAGCATCTCTTATCGGCTGCAGAGGCCTTCGGGAAAGCCTTGCCGGCTGCAGAAGAAGAAGTTCCTGAAGGTCTCTGACAGCGAAAAGGAGGCCAAGGGGTGACACACGCAAGTGAAGTGAGTCCGTGGATGACGTCCCCTGAAAATAAGACCTGGTGCCTTTTTTGGCGGCAAAAAAAATATAAGACAGGGTCTTATTTTTTGGGAAAACACGATATTAATTACAGGTCATCCTTGACTTACAAACATTTATTTAGTGACCATTCAAAGTCACAAAGGGACTGAAATAATTGCCTTAGGACTGTTATTCACCCTTGCAATCATTGTAGTCTCCCTGGGGTCACATGACCAAAAAATCAGTCATTTGTCCATTGATTCATATTTACGATGGTTGCAGTGTCCTGGGGTCATGTGATTCCCTCCTGATAAGCAAAGCCAAGGGGGAAAGCCCGATTCGCTTAACAACTGTGTGACTATACCGCTGCAGTGATTCACTTAACAACTCTGGCAAGAAAGGTCATAAAACGGAGCAAAACTCACTTAAAAACTGTCGTGCTTAGTAAAGGAAATTTTGGGCTCTACATTTCAAAACTGGGAGTTGAGTTTTGAGCACTACTTATCTTCTTGGCTGTTTTTTTTTCCTCTCTCCTTTTTTTTCATTCTTTTTTTTAATCCAGGCCACCCAGGTGGTCCATTCCCCATCCTTCCACCATCGGTTTCTTTAAACATATATTTTCTGTAACTATGAGAGTAGTTTGGAACAATGCCAACGGCAGCTGAGTCAAGGGATTACTTGGCATATTTAAGAAAAAGCCGTCGAGTGCAGCTGGGAACTGGCTACTACATTATAAATAGACATCAGTCACCTTGGCAAGTCTGCGTAATTCAGCTTTCACCCAGAGGAATCTGTCATCCATCATTCTCCCCCCACCCACCCATTTGGCTTGTAAATGAGGGAGGGGATAAAGGCAAAGAAGGAAAACAGGTTGATTTTTTTCTGCCATGTCTTGTGTTTTGGATATTTGATGTACGGTGGGAGTGAAGCATAGGGTGGAAATTGCTAATTTTTTGCCTGGAACATTCCTAAGGCTTTATTATTATTATTTTGGGAAGAAGATCCTTGGGGATTTCTTTCATCATTTCAGAAAAAACACAGGAAGCCTTTGAAAGTTTGTTTGGGAGCCGCGTCCTCTCCTAATTTAGCAAGGGGAAAGTTTCTAGCTCTGGATTTTTTTTTTTTTTCAACCGTGGTGACTTTAAGACGTTTGGACTTCAATTCCCACAATTCCCCAGCCAGCATGTCTTAAAGTCGTCTTAAAGTCCTCAAGGATGCACACCCGGGGTCTAGCAATTGTCCCCTGGTGGACGCGACCCCAATCCTAGTCACAGCAATGATAGTAATATTATCATTAGTAATATTTTTTTCTGCTGATGCAATAATAGTACCCTTCACACCACTAAAAAAGCAAAATCTGATAGATGGTTCTGGAAAATTTTCATTGCCAAGCAAGAGAGAGAGATGCTAAGGGAGTTCTGCTGCCCCGTTTTACAACCTTTCTGGTCACAAATGTTAAGTTGAATCAATGCCATTGTTAAGCCATTGTTAACATGGTTGTTAAGTGAATCTGGCTTCACCATTGACTTTGCTTTGACTTCGAAGTTGTGGGTGCTTCATCACTGGAGGTTTTTAAGAGCAGGGAGTTAGACTAGAACAGGGGCAGGGGTGGGCCGCTACGGCAGGGGTCCCCAACCACTGGGCCCCGGACCGGTACCGGTCTGTGGATCATTTTCAACCGGGCCGCCGGTTTGCTGGGCGCCGCCATCTTTTTTTGACGAGAAAGTGCTTCCGGGTGAGCTTTTCTGGTTGGAAAGCGGTGTTTGGGTCCTGAAGGAATCCTCGCGCCTTAGTTTCATCGAAGGGGGGGGGCGGCTTCGAACGAAGAGCCGTCCCGATGGCGGAGGAGATTAAGAAAGCACAAAAAAAGCACAAAAAAGATACAAAGGAGGAATTGAAGGTGGCGGGGAGAAGCGGGGGACGGCTGGCTGGCCGGTTGCTCGGCTCGCCTTGCCTTGTCATGCGTGCTGATGCCGGTACCAGGCCGTGGATCATTTTGTGATGCTGCTACCGGGCCGTGGCACAAAAAAGGTTGGGGGCCACTGCGCTACGGGTCCGCCTGGGTTCGGCCGAACTCGTAGCTAATGTTATGGCTGGTTCAGTGAACCACCAAATTCCACCCCTGGCTGGCCCTGCCCACCCTGTCCCACCCCTCCCACAAGTCTCCGCGTGGCTCGTTTTGGGTGAGAGGTAAGTATAGGGCCTGTGTGGAGGCTTGGGGAGGATGAAAAACAGAAGTCCCAGAAGGCCTCCGGAGCCTGGGGGAGGCCGTTTTTGCCCTCCAGAGACCGAAGGAAAGCCTCCGGAGCACGGGGAGGTTGAAAACACCCCCACCCTCACCGTGGTGCAGGAGGTCAACTAAGCCACGCCCACCATGGCCACACCCACCATGGCCACACCCACCCCACCCCAGTGGTGGGATTCAAAATTTTTTACTACCGGTTCTGTGGGCCTGGCTTGGTGGGCGTGGCAGGGGAAGGATACTGTAAAATCCCCATTCCCTTCTCACCCCACTAACCTGCTTTCCAGCTCTGTTCTCCTGTGCAGGGCAACAAAAGAAGACCCAGCCAATCAGCTGGGACTCTGGAGGCAGAGAATTGATGGGGGGGGGAGTTAGAGGTGGTATTTGCCGGTTCTCCAAACTACTCAAGATTTCCACTACTGGTTCTCCAGAACTGGTCAGAACTTGCTGAATACCCACCTCTGCCCCACCCACCCTAATAGCCCTCCGAGGTCAAACACAACCCTGATGTGGCCTTCAATAAAATCGAGTTTGACACCCCTGGAGTAGAAGAACCTCCAAGATCCCTTCCATGTTGTAATGACGAGGCAGTCGAGTTGTTTGATCATGAACAATTGAATCATGATGGTCTTTATTGGAGTCTAGTCTTGCATTTATACACATTTTTAATTATCCTCCATCATTGGTTAACTTTGGTTACTGCTTAACTTTCGTTACTGTTTAGCACAGTAATTAATACAATTAATTATCTCTAGTTAAAGTCTAACATAGGTTGACTTCCTCTCTCTAATCCTCCTTTAGATTAGTGACTTTGTTTGCCTGAGTTGTATTTGCTTGGAAACATTCTTTATCTGAGGTTTGCCATCCGAGATTGGAACATTCCTGCAATTACAACTCTACACTTCCAGCTCTATTCTGACTGATTGATTGATATTAATTGTTCGTCCCATTCCTCTCCATTTATCTAAACAGGGCCCATAGTTATTGGCCGAGAACCAACGGACAACTCCATTCCATCCTGGGCGAACCCCACAAAGAAATCGGGAGGTCCTTTACCTGCTATCATGGGTCCAACCTCTGCCATAAATGCAGGTAACAAATGTTGGGCTGACTGCCCTTTACCCAGGTGTGAATTAATCCCATTAATTTGCTCCCAAGGTGGATCCATATCAACATCCGTTCACATGCTAACATCCAAAGTGATTTGCTATCCAGGAAAGATTACACACACAACGTTGGCATATTAAAGCAAAAGTGCTTGAAAGTATAAATTTAAGGGGAGGGCATTTGCTTGTAAAAATACAGGTAGTCCTTGACTTACAACAATTCATTTAGTAACCATCCAAAGGCACTGAAAAAAGTAAAGTATGACTATTTTTCAGGGTTATGACCATTTCTGCATCCTCATGGTCACATAATCAAAATTCATATTGGTTCATGTTTATGACAGTGTCTGGGGAGTCACGTGATCCCCTTTTGCGACCTCCTGACCAGCAAATTCATTGGGGAAGCCAGATTCACTTAACACCTGTGTTAATACTCACTTAACAACCGCAATGACTCACTGAACAAATGAAACTAGAAAAGTTGTAAAATGAGGCAAAAAACCTCACTGAACATGTGCCTCATTTAGCAGCTTAAATTTTGGGCTTATTTGTGGTCGTATGTTGAAGACGACCTGTATACACATTTTTAGAAGTTACACAGAAAAAGAATGGTTATAGAAAGATAAATATTTTTTTAAATGTAATTTGATGTCAGGGGTGGGATTCTACCTGGTCAGACTGGTTCTATAGATCCGGTTGTTACAATTCTGCGCAGTTCGGAGAACTGGCAAATCACGCCACTGGCTGGCCCCTCCTGTCCCCTCCCCACTCACTCGCTTCTTACCTGGCATGTCTGCCATCCAGCTTGCTTACCCTGTGCCTTTGCCTAATTTTTGGTAAGTTTCTATTTTTCCTTCCCCCCCCCCCCCAACCATCAGCTGTTCCAACTATCAGCTGTGATGGGATATTTAGATTAGCTAGAAAGCAGGAAATCATTGGATTTCTTGCTTTCTAGCTAATCTAAAAGCAGAGCTGAAGCTTCTTTAGGACTGAAGCTTCTATTTTTCAGTGCAGACTCAGGTAGAAGATTGCAGAAAGGTAGATCTCTGAGTGAATCTGTGATTCTGTGAGCAACTCAATCTGCCTGCCTGCTTTGCCTGATTTTGGGTAAAAGTTGCTCTTTTTTTAATAAAAAAAATCAATATTTACAATATTTACATACAAGCCAATATTTACATACAAGCCAGTCACGTGACCACCAAGCCACACCCACAAATTAGGCCACGCTCAGAGAACCGGTTGTTAAGAAAGTTGAATCCCACCTCTGCTTGATGTAGAAGTGGCGTCCAACTTTTGAGAACTTTAAGATTTGTGGACTTCAACTCCCAGAATTCCCCAGCCAGACATGCAAATTTCTGCAAATTCAGAAAAAAGGATAAGCATCAGAAGTTTGAGACACGATTGCACTTGATGTGTGACACACACACACACACACACACACACACTGAGGGGCACAGATATATCCCATTTCCTAAAGATCATGATCCATTCACAATAAAAACAGAGCAAAAGAAAGAGCAAATTTGGAGAAGTGGTTAAGATACTGCCTAGAAACTAGGAGACAGTGAGTTCTAGTCCTTAAGCATGAAAGCATTGCTGGCCTGGAGGATTCTGGGAGTTGAAGTCCACAAATCTTGAAGTTGACAAATTTGGACACCCTTCATCTAAAGACATCACCATTGCCAGAAAGATTTTATAACCAGGAATAAAAGTGTATCATTTTTAATCTGAACTGTATTTTCTCCACGAGAATTGACTGCAACCCAACGAGATCATTAGGTTTAATTCACTGTCTTCTTCCTCAACAGGATCTTTAAATTTAGGGCACCAAAAGTCTGGTAACTCCAGCATCTTGTCCAAGAACCCAGATGACAGCAAGAGAATACATTCAGGTAGAAGAAAATTGTACCCACTCTATGCTTTACTCTATCATCATCATCTTTTAATGACCACATAATCCCACGCAGGGTGGAATCTGAGAAACTGAATGGATCTAGCAGTGTTTAATGGCCGGATGCCCTTCCTGTCACCAATGCAGAGTTTTTGTTCAGCAGATATTTTCTCTTTCTGCCCCAAAGAGAAATATCTGCCTCTAACCTAGGATCGAACTCACAACCTCTCTAGGCCACCACACCACTCCTTCTATGTTTTACTCCATATAGAAAGGAACCTTATATAGGCACCTTTTTAAAAGGTGGAAGTGATAATACTTTGTATTACATTAGTGAGGCCACGCTTGGAGCACTGCATCCAGTTCTGGTCACAACACTATATAAAAGATTCTGAGAGCCTATAAAGTGTGCAAAGACCAACCCAGATACGAAGAAAATAAATTGTACGATGAATGGTTTGGTTGAGCAAGCTAGGTACGTCTCACCAATTAAAGAGAAGGAACAGGAGGGACATGATAGCTGTCTCCCAGTATTTGACGGACTATCAGAAAAAGGGGATTGTCGTAGTCCCCCAAATAACTGAATGCCGGACAAGAGGTAACGGATAGAAAATTATTAGAGAGAGATCCAGCCTAGAACAAAGGAGAAATTTCCTGATAGGTGAGAATAATTAATCCTAAAATCGTCAAACTTGGCAAGTTTAAGACTTGTGGACTTCAACTCCCAGAATTCCTGAGCTAACATGACTGGAGGAGGAATTCTGGGAGTTGAAGTCCACAAGTCTTAAAGCTGTCAAGTTTGAAAACCCCTGATGGCTTGGCTTCTGGAGTTATGGATGTACTATCACTGGATGTTTTCAAGAATAGACTGGACAACCATTTGACCGGGTTGATATAAGCTCTCCTACTTTAAGCAAAGGGTTGGACTAGACAGAGGTCTCCAAACTTGGCAACTTTAAGACTTGTGGACTTCAACTCCCAGAATTTCTCCTCCAGTCATGTTAGCTCAGGAATTCTGGGAATTGAAGTCCACAAGTCTTAAAGTTGCCAAGTTTGAAGACCCCTGGGCTAGAAAACCAGAGGTGGGTTTCTACCGGTTCTGTCCACCTCTGTAGAACCGGTAGCTCTGAAGAGCAGCAGACATAGAACCGGTTCTATGTCTGCTGATGTTGTTGCCCACCTGCTCACCCGGGCTCTTACCTAACCTTTATTTCCTGATTTTTCAACTTCAGCTGCCAAACGAGGCACAGCTGCAGTTAAAAAAGCAGGAAAAAAGGGCTGTTTCAAAGGCTGCTTCTCTGCACCCAGCGTGCTGATGACGATTTACAGGTCTGCCCGAGCAGCGTGCAGGAAAGCACGTCGTAAATCACCGAACCTCGTAAATCATTGAACCGGTAGTTAACCCTGTTGGACCCCACCCCAAGATCCCTTCCCTAACTCTATGATTTTATGTTCTATGTTCAGGGCAGGACAAGAAGTAATGGATGGAACATCATGAAAGGGAGCATCAACCTAGAACTAAGGAGAAAATTTCTGACGGTAAGAACAATTAATCAATGAAATGGTTTGCCCCCTGAAAGTAGTGGGTGCTCCATCACTGGAGGTTTTCAAGAAGAGATTGGACAATCATTTGTCTCAAATGGATTCCTGCTTGAGAAGGGAGTTGGACTAGAAGACCTCCAAGGTCCCACCAGCCCTATTATTCTATGCGGGACATGAATCTCCTATACAAATGCATAAATACATTTTCATTTCATTCCCATGTCCCTTTGCAGTAACAACTATCCAGAAATGTGACAGATGCCAAAACTTACAGAGTTTTGATCTCCCATTCCTTCCCTTTGGTTATTCACGTGCTCTCACACTCTGTTTATTTTCTCCCTTCATCCCATTGCTTGGATAAATTGTACAACTACAGAAATATTTATCTTTGAGCCTAGAATCATCTCTTGTCCTTCGAGAGTTGTGTTAAGAACTCTGTCCGTGGATATGAACTCAAATGATTAATATTCCTGGGATATCCAGGAGAGCCTTTAGAACAGGGGTCTCCAACCTTAGCAACTTTAAGACTTGTGAACTTCAACTCCCAGAATTCCTCCTCCAGTCATGTTAGCTCAGGAATTCTGGGAGTTGAAGTCCACAAGTCTTAAACTTGCCAAGGTTGGAGACCCCTGCTTTAGAACATAGGACGTAGAATGATAGGGTTGGAAGGGATTTTGGAGGTCTTTTAGTTCAACTCCTTGCTCAAACAGGAGATCCTATACCATCCTGAACAAACGGTTGTCCTATCTTTTCTTTAAAAACTCCTCCAGTGATGAAGCATTCACAACTTCTGGAGGCAAGTTGTTCCATTGCTTCATTGTTCTAACTGCCAGGAAATTTCTCCTTAGTTCTAGATTGCTTCTCTCCTTGAATATTTTGTTTTTATGTATTTATTTTATTTGTCAATATAACAGAAACAAGAATAAACATAAGTTTAAATACAAGAAATAGGAACTAATAATTGGGGACAGTAGGACAGGGGCGGTAGGCATGATTGTGTGCTTATGCACGATTCGTTTCCATCCATTGCTTCTTATCCTGCCCTCTGGTGCTTTGGGGAATATCGACTGTCCAATCATGCTGACTTTTGCAGAAACCAGCATAATTGGACACTCATGCTGATAACAGATAATCAGAGTTGGAAGGGACCTTGTAGGTCATCTAGTCCAACCCCGCACCCAAGCGGGAGAACCTACACCATTTCTGACAAATGGCAGCCCAATCTCTTCTTGAAGGTCTCAAGTGATGGGGCTCCCACAACTTCCGAGGGCAAACTGTTCCATTGGTTGATTGTTCTCACTGTCAGAAAATTTCTCCTTATTTCCAGGTTAAATCTTTCCTTGTTCAGTTTCCATCCATTATTCCTTGTCAGGCCTTCAAGTGCTTTAGAAAATAGCTTGACCCCTTCCTCCCTGTGGCAGCCCCTCAAATATTAGAAGACCTCTATCAGGTCTCCCCTGGTCTTTCTCTTCATTAGACCAGCCAGGCCCGGTTCCTGCAACCGTTCATCGTATCTTTTAGCCTCCAGTTCCCTAATCATCCCGGTTGCTCTTCTCTGTACTTTTTCTAGAGTCTCAACATCTGCTGAAATCGTTTGGTGGGTGTGGCCACAGAATAGATCCCCATGTAAGACATGTAATATATTTAGGAAGGTCTGTTTCACGTTCTTTGAGGCATTCCCTTTTGTCTTCCTTTCCAGTGGACAACGATCCCCATTTCATCATCACCTTCCCAAGGCAACAGAAGAACATCTGCTTCAATATTGATTCTCAACCAGGGGCCATCCTGAATTTAATTTCAGACGTGGAGTCCAGTAAGAGAAATGCACAATCAGATATGAGAGACATAAATAGTAGGCTTGGGGAAAAGGTTCTCTCAAATCATAATATTGAATCTGAAAACAAGTGAAAAGCTAGGAAAATCTCTCTGAGATGCAAGCCACTAGCCTTGGAGTTGGGGGATAGAGTGCTCAGGGATCCTGAGGCTCAGACTTGGAGATGTAGCTCTGGTTATATCATAAGTAGTAACCATGGATGGGGTCAGTATTGTTCCTAAGCATCTTCAGACAAATGGGTAAAGTGCTAATAATCCTCCTCCTCCTCTTCCTCCTCTTCCTCCTCCTCTTCCTCTTCTTCTCCCTTCTCCCTTCTCCTCCTCTTCCTCCTCCTCCCTCCTTATCCTTTCTTTTCTTATTCTTCT